ATGAAGGCTAATCATGTTTTGGGTGTACTATTCCTTTAAAGTTATTTTCCAGCCCTGAATGACAGGAAGTTGGAGTTGGGAGGATAATCAGCTCTACCAAAGAAAGGCGTCTGAGACTTACGTCATAGCTTGGTAGATGGACTCGATCCCGTAGCGCATCGCAAACTCGTCAACTATTTCCTGCGCCACATCGTCAAAGTAGAGCTTCCATGAATCGTCTCCACGAGCCTCTGGGATTCTAACCGCCCCCTGGCCGAGCACGTCGGTGGAAAAGTGGAACAGATTCTGCAGGGAGAAGAAGGAATACCGTTTAAAAGGCCTCCTAAAATCAGAGGATTACAAATTAAAAGAAAAATTGATTTTTATGTGCATATCACTAAAAATTGTTTTATTAAAGAGGGGAGGAGACGTTTTGGTTTTTCTGATTATAGGATTATTGGATTAGTTATACTGTAACAAGCTTAAAACCAAATAATAAATCATTGTTTCAGAGGAAGAAAGGAAACATTATAGTTATTAAAGTATAACTGAATATTTTCCACATCATATTTTGTATTGGGTATTACAGGCATCCTGTACAGCTGCTATTTTTCTAAAAACATCCAGAAAACGGCTTCATAAAACATCAGAACATCAACAAATAGTTTCCTCTGTCGATAACCTTAATTCCAGAGGTTTAGGCTGGATTTAGATGATTAAAGCTTTTTATTCTTGTACGTCTTACTCTTGATACAACCGTCTGTTATTGGACAGTTGGTGAAGCACCGCCCACCCAGAAGCTCCAGCCTTAAAAGGAGGCCAAGGCCTTCAACCTGCAACCTTAGTGTGCTTTAATGCAGAAGGCTGCCTAGTGTTTCTCTGCTCCTTTCTGTGGGTTATTTTTTCTTTTGAGTTTTTTGGAAATACTTTGGGAGAACTTCAGTCATGTTATTTGGTTATTTGGTTTGGAGGTTATTTGAGAACTTTGAGTAGACTATATTTTTTTTACCTTATTGTTTTAAAATTTCATAAAACTATATAATTTGTAAAACTCTCAGTCAGATGTTATTAGGATTAGTAGAAAAAAGATCAGTTACTTGAGAAACTTTTTTACCAAACACTTCTTGGACATAAGCAAATTCTGAAATTCAATTAAAGCTCCTTTATTTCCTCAGATGGAATTTTTTCCCCTAAGAAATTAAACTGTTTATCTGTATGTTTGATATGTTTTAATACATCGATTTGCTGTCACATTTTGTTATTTACATTTTAAAGTAAATACATTGATCGTAAATGACCAGTGTGTAAATAATTAGCATTTATTGGTGCAGTGACTTCAACCCTAGTCAGATGCTTCAAAACTTATGAATATTTCGCAGAACAACTGAAGCTACACTAACTTATGGAGAGAAATTAGTTTTAATATTATTTAAAACAAAGAGGATGTTTCAAAAAAGGAAAGAAA